GGTTAAATTTGCATCGAAAACGACGTGGGACATTTTAAAACGGCCGAAAATTTCATTAATCTCTTTATTCTTCAAACCTTTTTACCTTTTGATACCTATGGTATATACGAAAAAAAAAAAAAAAACAAGTAAATTTATTCTTTCTAACACGTTACAAACAAATTCACGGCAGCGTTAAACGTTAAAATACGGAAACAACAAAACGTATCGTCGTCGCGTAAAATTTTCTTCTAAATCGAATATCATCGTTTTCGTGCTTTTAAATTCGTGGGACGCAGACGCTTGTCGAGAAAAATGCTCGAAAAAATACAACAAAGAATGAGCGCTTTTTCGTTGAAGCAAAAATCGATTTCTTCGAGCCGAAATATTATATGTGCTAGCAAGCGAGTAAGAAAATAGTCCAAGTTATTTGAGATATTAAAAAACATATTTTAATCATACGTTATTCTTAAATAATTTTTAATTTATCTTTGTATAAACGAGAGGTCAAGATTTACAACACTTATTGTTTTATCTCGCATACTTTCCTTTCGCACGCACACCATATACCGATACGAGGTTTATATCATTGCCTATATGAAACTACTATCATTTACATTTTTTTTAATAATACACATTCGTATCTTTATATTACTATTGTCGTAGAATCTCATTCGCACCAAGTATGCATCTGTGTGTCCCGCCTATATATATATATATATATATATATATATGTATGTGTATAGGAAAAAGGGAAAAATTTTATTTCCTCTTGTTCGATGCGATCGAAATGTAAAATCCTCTCTGGCAGTATCGCGTGTGTCGCTTCCACCTCAACGAGCGAGACACGTTATGCGCACATACGCGAGATTTTGCGAGGAGATATGGATTTACAGACACTTGAAAGTGAGGATGAAGAAGAAGCATTTCAATGGAATGTTCTTTCTCTCTCTCTCTCTCTCTTTCTTTTTCAGCCTATCCAGTCGCACCAAACTCTTCCTCGCTTTCCACGTTTTCTAGGAATTTTTGCTACGTCTCGTCGGTTCCTTTATTTCCATCTTTAACTTTTTCCCTCTTCTCCCTTATTCCTCTTTCTTTTCCTTGTCGTTCATAAAACCGTCTGTTTCGAAATCCCAAGGAAAAGTTACCAATAACTGACAAAAGAATGATCGGCCAAAGAAACGTGCCTTTTATGCGGACCACGCTACTACTACTACTACTACTACTACTACAACAATTTCCATCGATATACTTTTTCCTTCCTGATCTTTTCTAACTTCAAATTTGATCGAAAAGTTATTTCTTTCGCGAGCAATCCCAAACTACAAATTTAACATATTACCAATCAATCAAGGAAGTTTCTCTATTTGCACCTGTTATAATATTCATATATATATATACGTTTATAATTAATTATTAATAATAGTCGATATATACGCATATTAATTAATTTTGATCTCCATTAAAAATTAATTAAACCTATTGCATACGTAGTATTTTGCATTTTCAATCTAGATTTGTGACAAATTATTAAAAGATAGTATCGATCACGTAATTATGTTTTTAAATGAAAGTATCATTAACGATTAATCCTTATATCTTTATTTCCAGATTGTTCTCTCTTGCATTTCATTAACTCTCGCTACTTTGATATTCCAATTTGAATCTGTTCACGCAACGCCCAATGTCTATACCAAACTACAATGCAAATAACGCAATTAAAAGATTCGAATGTGTCCGAGATAACGTTTTAAATCCCCGTTACCATACCGGCGTCATTTTCTTTTCCCTTTTTTTTTTTAACCTAATCTCCAATTTGCATGGAAAGCAACTACTCAGTTGTTACTCTCTTCACTTTTTTCTTGTCGATGATTACGAGTAGGTATAGTGTAACTGTTGCATCAATTTTGAATTTTCCATCCCTTTCCCTTTTCCCTTCTCTTTCATTTCTATTTATTTTCATTCAAACACCAACAAAGGAAGGAAAGATCTTCTTGAATTTTCGTTAAAGAAACCACCACGTGTATCAGTGTATCAACATTGAATAAGTCGAGCTATAATGGGAAATGCTAGAAGAATAAGAACGAAGTAGGTGAAATATTTCAAAAGGAAAGAGAACACATTTTGTTTAAAGAAGTAGAAAGAGAGATGGTGAATCGATTCTGTCGACGAAAAGAGTAAGTGCACCACTACTGACGTATTTTACAAACGCTCATCTTTTACCTCACCGTTATTTCCTTCCATTAACATCATCGAACTGGCAATTAATGAGAAAAAAAAAACGAAACTTCAATTTATTTCACTGCTACCAACTATTACTGCAGACGACCAAATTGTTGAAAATTTCATTAAAAAGTTTGTTAGAAGAAGAAAAATATAACAACTTGTTTTTTTTTTTTATTGAAATTTATTTCTACTGCAAATAACGGAGAACGTGAGAGAAAGGGAAAAATAGGAGGAAAGGAGAGAAAAAGGAGAAATTTTGTTGGTCGTAAGTATGGACAAACACGATTTCACGTGAAAAGTTGATTCCTGAAAAGTCTACGATCGCTCTCGATCGGAATTCGAATCGCATCGTGGAAAGAACTTCGTTACAGTAACGAGCTTGCGAACCCTTATTCGAATTCCGCAGTTGGGTTCTTCGTTCAGTTCGCAAAAAAGTCTAGTAATTTTGGTAACAAAACTTAAGGAAAACATGTGTTAAAGATCTCTTTAAATTGCGAATAAAACGTGTATCTCTTCGATTAACTCAAAACTCGACGTTTTCTTCGAAGAAAAAACAAAAAACTTTGACTAGGCTAAGGTACGCAAATGCGTAAAGGAAACTCCCTTTTTGAAAGAAGAGTGCCGAGTTTTTCAGTTAAAAGAAAAATACATACAATTTTCGAAAGGAAAATCTAGAGAAGCGTGAATAGTTTTTAGTAGTAGGACAAATACGTATCTAGAAAGTTGAAGTTTTACGAGAGGTCAGCATACTTCCGCATAAAAATGAACATTTTTGTCGATTGTATCGCGAAACGAACATGATAAAAACATTTTGTACGAGGCAATGACATTTGCCCTTTTTTCTATACCATCTTTTTATTGAACACTTAACTCTTTTCTTTCTCGGACATGGTGAAAAGAAAAACGCTAGGGGGTTTATATTTTTCATCCTTCTTTTATTCCACGGAGTACGGTAACCCCGCAATCCCGCAAACGTGAATTACGTCCCGTCGTGTACACTTTAGTTTAATTCCACGTTTATTGTTTAATAGAAAGCGTTAATTGTTCCCGTAAAATTTTTAATTCACTACTGTGAAAACAACTCAAGAGTATAATTATCGTTCAATTGCATAAACATCCCGTTTCGCGCGTCCTACTGTTGCGTTTGTCGCTGACTGCTACCACTAAAAATAAAACTTGTCGCGGCTGAATCGTAAAAGTGTTGACTTTTCAAGCAATCTTCATGATAGCATGTTCACACGAGTAGTATACCACGACAGCTTGATTCACACTCGTAATTCACGTCCGTTGGGAACGCGACACGAAAGATTACTTTTCCTTTATCTTGCCCATTTTCTACTTTATTGACTTTTGTTCGTTAACGAAAAGTACGCCTAATTTAGAAAATAATTAAACGGAAACAATTTGTTCTTACGATTAAAATGAACTGTATGATATTTAGATATGCTGAGAGAGAGACAATTTATTATTCAAACACCACTCGTGTAGCCTATTAGGATCCTCTTGCACAATAAGCAGGCACTGATAAATGCGGTTAATCAACTCGGAACTTTATTCATTTATTTTCCTTTCGTATTTATACAAATTAAAATGAATCGACTTTATTTTTTGTGTTTTTGTTGTCAGCAATCGATCGTTTCATAAAATATTCAAAGTTCGAGGCGTTTTTACAACCTCCTAAGTAATTCGAAGTTTTATTTGAAAAGACGAAAGAACTACGGCATCCTCATACAATATTAAAAGAGCTGAGAGATGGTTCGTCGAGGTGGAGGTCAGTTTTCGCTAAGTATCAAGTTCTTCCTCGCACTTTTATACCAAGAAGAGAGGAGAGACCGTAAACTTCCGATATCGATTCTCGTCTATTCGTCTAAAGTCTTCCCTCGACGTGCTTGTTTTTTTAAAAACATCTCACGAATACTTAAAACAAACGATCTCTTTCGATTTTTCGATCGATATCAAGACCTCCGATCTTTCGAAACCCATCCAGTCCGTATCATTTTTTTCTACTTTTTCTTTCGTTTTTCTCTCGAACAGGGAACGATTTCTCGAAACAATGATATACAAGTTTCCTCGTTTTATTTTTCTTTATGAAAAAGCATAGGTATGCATCATGTTGATTTTCTTTTCCTTTTATATATTATCTTTCTTCTCGATCTTCCTAGGAAAGAAAAATTCAACACTCTTTTCCGAGTTTTCCTCGAGAAATAATTTTAGCGAAAGCATCGGAGGGAGAGAGAGAGAGAGAGAGAGGAACGGCGGTGTGCAACCGTCTTTTCGAAAAATTGATTCCAACGTGGATTGGCGCGCGCGAAGAAGAAGAAGAAGAATGATATATCGACTTTTCCAATATTTCAAGCCAAACCCGGACGTTGACGAATATTTGTCGAAGAATTTTTGGTCCCCTGATATTCTAAACGAAAGAAAGAGACAGAGGGTAATAAAAGTTTGTGTCGGAAATTTCAGATCGAGGTTATGTAAAATAATAAGAATAAGCCGCAATAAATCGCGTTGGTGAATCGTTCCTATCTGCTCGTATATCACCTTTAAACATTCGTAAATCTTTGGGAACGCGTGGACCACATGAGATTTTCTCGTAAATATCCTGACCACCGCTCGGAAATGTGCATACGTAGGATACATACGCAGTGCTTATATACACGTACAACGGCATAATATTTATCGTGATTTTTTTTTTTATTTACGTGTGCTTTCCCGAATGACTACAAATAAAAACGACGAGAGAGAGAGAAAAAGAGAGATTTTCGACAAAACATGTGTGCTCAAACGTGTTTCAGAATAAACGAGAACACCACGAGGTCCCAATTCTTGGCATACTTCAGCTTCTCCTCCAAAGCAAGTACGTCCGTTGGCTTACCCATCAAAGGTGGACTTCCGGTAAATAACACAGGTAAGATAAAAGCGATAATTAAATCTACGTTTAATCAATTTAACAATTTGCGTCCTAATTAACGAATAATTGAGTTCAATTTATTAGTAGAAGCACGAATACAGAGAAAATTAGTAGATATTTACTTTTCTTCAAATTATTTTCATTTCCAGTATTAATATTTTATTAAAAACCCCCCTATTTTAAATAATACTAGTAATCTTGACCCCGTTTGATCTTCTCGATTCAGAGTGACTTTCTAAAGCCGCCATGCTATACACCATATCTTATTTTACATAATGTTGATAATCGATCGAGTTTCGGAGGATTCCTCGTTAGCCTCGTTATCCCATAGTGGACACAGGTAAAATTATAAAGCACTCAGGGTGCAGTGACCTATTCGACAAGCGGATTATGCTATACGCAAACTCCATACTCGACTGACAACCAAACAGAAGCGATTCTGACCTAGCGTTCTAGTAAATCAAACATTGATCTAGTCAGCTATCGGTTTTGCTAGCAAGTTAGAATTACTTGCCAGCAAATATTATCCACTTTGATGCTCATCAAGAATATTTTCTTGGTAACGACTTACCTTTAATTATCCATTTATTCCTAAAATTTCGTTATTCGAGCAACGTTAAGTAAACTTTACTAATTTACCGAGTATACCTGTATTCTAAATTTTCCTTCCTTCATTATCTCCAACGTAAAAGCCATCTTCTTAGATCGTCTTACATCGAATCATCTTTACGTTGTTACATAAGTCGCGAAAAAAAACTTAAAGACAAAGTTAAGAAAAGTCAGTGCGCAAAAAGCAGCCCGCCCCCTTTCCTTTAAAAACAAGCTTTTGAAAAAATACACAAGAGTAAGATCTTTTGAAAAGTTTTACTTTGTTTTACGTTTACTTTGGATGTTAAATCTTTGAGGAACACGTAGGAAAACGTGGAATACGTTAGGAGGAAGAGTGCTGAAAAAAGGGAACAGAAACGGAAGAATAAAAAAAAAAAAAGCAGAAGAAGAGGAAATAAAGAGAGGACGAACCGCACAGCAAACAGACAGACAGACAGACAGACAGACAGAGAGGTAAAGATAAAAGGAGAAAGAGGAAGTAAGAATTTCGTAGCGCAAGCAGAGCAGAAATGCAATTTCTCCCGTACTTAGAATGAAAATTATGCGAGCTTAAGAGGAGGACAGTTAGGGCTTAACCGAATAAGGGTTGGAACGAAGGAGAAAGCGCAGTACAGTTTCGGTCGAAGCCATTTAGCTGCTCTGACCTAAAGTGTTAACGACGTAAACCCCAACCGCCGATCCCGCAGGAAGTTGGCGCGATAGCCATTTTCCAAAAGGTATCACGATTTCTCGCGCCCGCGGGATTCTATCTTTTGGTGGAAGTAGGGTGTTGCGCAACAACGCCGAGCCAAAACCGTAATACCTTTAACGAGAATTTACCTGAATTTACCAGAATTTACTAGAATTTAACCAGAAATCCGAAAAATATCCAATATCGCTATCGTTAATCGATGTCACATTTATTTTTCGCAACAACGATTAAACCGAAATTCGGGTTCTATCCTTTCTTATTTTCCTTTTCACGCGAGAAATTCAATATTAAGAGTTTTAAATTGTAACAATTGGATTGTCGTTCTAGCAAAAGAATGCAGCAGGTACGTTATGCAACTGGGTGGTAGTTAATTTCGATTCGTTCGACGCTACTACGTAACTAACGAAGAAAAAAAAGGATAAGCGAGAAAAACAATACTCTCTGGGTGCTCGTTTGACTACTCTGCTTGCACGAATATTTTGCTTTTTTACGTTCGAATAGCGTCGCTTTCGTCCCCGCAAATCGTATCGGTTAACGATGCGTTTCTTCCCGATACGAACAATTTTTTCTCTTTTTCTTTTTTCTTTTTTTTTCTTAAGTTAAGGTCAAGGAAGAAAGAAGACAATCGTCGTAACGAACGTTTGAAAAGTGTGCAGCCAAGAGAAATGACTGAGGATGAGGAACCGTCGTTGCTTTTACGCTTAAAATCGTTCGAAAAAGAAAAGAAAGATAGAAAGAAAGAAAGAAAGAAAGAAAGGAAAAAAGAAGAAGGATAGATAGATAGATCTTTCAACGTGACACGTTGAAAGCCATCACTCGAAAGTCTTTTCGGAGTTTTATTTCGTCTAACGAGAAGACAACGATTTTCGATCGAAATCGAAGAAGTTGAGTCCTTCATATGCGCGGAACGTATTCGTTTGACTTTTTTTCCTTTTTTTTTTCTCGAGATAAGAAAAAAGGAAGAGTAAGAGGTGGAGGAGGAGGAGAAGGAGGAGGGAAAGGAAGGCGATTGCCACTTAAATCACATCGGATGCGAGAACTGTTTTTTGGCACGGAACGCGATTCGTTTCTACTTTTATTTGGGCTTGCGGCGAAAGAAGCGTGAATGTGGAAAGTCGTTCGGTTGGGAATAAGAATGAGAAAGGTTGAAAGGAAAAGAGAGAGGGGGAGGATGAAAAAAAAGAGCACAGAGAAAAAAATAAGGAAAAAAGAAAGTACGAACTGGGACATCGTTCGACTGACAAACAGATCAATCGCACCTTTATACGGACAGCACGATCTGCCACTTTATCCATCGTCGTCGTGATTTTTCTATCTAACATGCACGTAACAACCCCCGCCCTTCCCCTCTCCCTCCCCGTCCGGGTACGTTTCTCTTTCTATTTGTCTATGTAAAGAATCGCGGAATGGTTAAAGATCATCTTGCCGTCTCGACTTTGATCCTCTGCCACTTTGATTAGCCCATTCGGCGCTTCGGAAAAAAAGGAATCGACGAAACCGAAGGAAAAATAAAGAAGACGAGAAATGCAAGAGTATGAAACTCCTAAAAAAGAAAAATGTAATAGAAACCGTGTTATATGAGACCCAAAGTTCATTATTTTAACACTAGATTTATCAGCTGTTTTGATATACCTATTTTTACCGGTCTTTAAAGAAAAGTGCTTAGCGAAGTAAAACTAGCAATAGCCAAAAATATATATTTCTTACGAATATATATATATAAGATAATATAAAGTTCTTCATAAAACTGATTCTTTAGTTATAGCTACAAAAGTCATGATATCATTACAGAAAAAAAATGTTACATGCAGTAGGAATTTGAAATTGAAATTGCAAGAGCCAGTCGTCATTTTGACTGGTCTGGTAAATCTAATGTTAAGGTAATTTTGTTTAGAAATATGTTAAGCAACCATCGTGTTATCCAGTGCTGTACTAAGATTTTCGCAATTTTTTGATCTATAAAATCGCCAATTTATCGTACATCGCTATTACGAAATCCTAAGAGACATTATCATCGAGAGAATAGGAAATTATATTTATTCGTATTCTTCTATATCGATCCGCGAGTGTTCGTTACGTAACCAAGGAGAAAAGGATAGATATTTGCGTGCAGCTAATGTACGGATGCACGTGCACGAATAAAGACGCGACGAGGGATATAAGGATGCACATTATATAAGAAAAATTCGTTCTAAAGCTCGCGAAAGGAATAGGGGAAAGAGGATGAGGAGGATTCGTGGAGAAAAATTGTACGCATTGCGGCGCACAACTTAGGTGGGTTATTCCATCATCGTGTCTTCTGCGTCCTCCACCGTATAAGATCCTCTTCGAATCTTTTTCCTCTTGAAAAAGAGCGCATAGATATCTACATATTCGCGCATCCATATCCACACGTACACATGTATATATATATATATATATATATGTGTGTGTGTAAATATCTACTATATTTTCTCTCAAAGAATCAACTCGGAGGAGGCATCGGATGCAAGCCACTTCTTTCCTTTCCTATTCGCGAATTCAACAAAAATACGACTCCACCTGGCATCCGTCGATACGCTTCGACGAGTCTCGCATAAACGCTCGGCTTTCTTCTCACCTCGAAAGATTCGTCGCATCCCTGACGCAACCCTGACACGCTAGTCGTCGAACTACCATCCCAAATCTTACCTCGTCATGATTTCCAACCTTCTGGCAGCTTTTTCGACAAAAGAATTACGAAAGAATATCGAGGAGACTCCCCACCCCACCCCTCCTTTTTCTTCATCGTCTGCCAACTTTTTCCATCCTCTTTCTTTTTCGATTATGGTCCAAGATGAACGCTACTACCATTTCGATTACTATCTTTACGATAAGATGAAGGCTATAAGAAAAAAAGTCGATTCTTTAATTGCGCGCATATTTCGAACTGCAGATTTTTCAAGATTACGAAATCTTACATTTGTTCGTCTGGTCTGGTCTGGTCTGGTCTGGTCTGGTCTGGTCTGGTCTGGTCTGGTTTCGTCTCGTCTCGTCTCGGACGAATTCTCGAACGATTTTTCAGACTTTACGGAGCGAAATGAAGGGTTCGTTCGGATAAGACCCCCTTTATTTTTCACGAAAGAACGAACAGGAATAAAAAACGGCGGAAACAAGAAAAATTCCAGGGAAAATACGACGTATGAAAACTCTCGAATAGGCCACATCTTGCCTCCTTACGTTTGTTTCCAAATGAAGAACACGATCCCGCTTTTACGTTCGCGATCGCATTAACACTCCCTTTTCCTTTTTTATTATTTTCTTACGAAAATCCAGTTTCTTCATTTTCGTATTCACCAGTCGATAGAAAATTGTTTAAATTCTTTGTACAACAAACGAATGATTCTTTCTTAATTAATGTTACGAAAATTATCGCTCGACGTAATAGTTATATATATATATATATATATATATATAGTAATAATAATAATACTATAAAAGAATTTTCCTACTCGAATAAAGCATTAAAGCAAATTCTGCAAATATTTCATCGCGAGTTAATGCGATTAAGAGAAGGGAGAGAAAGATAGAGAGAGTGTGAGAGAGAGAGAGAGAGAAAGAGTGAAAGAATGAAAATTAGAGTAGGAACATTTTCCACGTCGATAAACGTAGACAAAGAAGTCCATTGCCAATGCGCCTCGTGTTCGTCTAACCGTTAGAAGTTGATTCACGTTTTTCGATTGTTCAATATTATTTACTTTTTCCCCAATCATCGGAGATACGAGTGAGAAGGAAGGAAAAACGGAGATGAGAAGTGAAAAGAAAAGAAAAGAAAAGGAAAGAAAAGAAAAGAAAAAAAGTATAAGATAAAGAACGGGGAAAGGAGAGGAATGGAACGCCATATCGATGGGCAAGGAAGTTCGCGACTCGACGGAAGTCTTACTCATAACTTTCCATAATTTTCGCGTGGACTTTCTATCGGGATTCCTGCTTTAAATTGCGAACTGATATTGGCATCCCAGAAAATTTACATCGAATAGTTCAGGTCGTTTCGTGCCAGACTTCGAATATATATTAATGAAAGGTTTCTCGAGATTGATACGAAGTACCTCGTTAGTGCGTTCTAATTGGCTGCCAGTAGTCATGTATCTCTCGTCGATGAATTAAAAGAAAAAAAAAAAAGAAGAAAAAAAAAGGAAAAAAAGATAAAATGAATCGAGGAAAACGATATTGTCACATAGGCTTTTCTTTTCGCGAGCGCGTTTTATGAATATCTATAATTTATACGAGACCAAAAACGTGACCTTTTACTCGCGTATCGGATCTACGCGTAGTATATGACCGGAATATATAGGATTGTTATAATTATGAAATATATAACAAATAATTGTTGATATTATATTACATATTTTTCAGAATGCGACTGGATTTACGAGAGCGCTGATTGCCAGGACGGATGCGTCCTAGCTAGTCCCGGATATCCTGGCCTATATCCGCCAAACATCCGCTGTCGGTATCTCATAACTTCCGGTCCACGAGTTTCTATCGCCATCAACTTTACCGCGGTACTACTTCCGCACAAGTAAGTGGAAATGCGTTTTTCCAAGCGCGAGTCTTCTATATTCGCTTTTCTGCGCATCAAAAGTGTCGTTCTGTATAAATCTAAATACGTCCATACATATATGCATACACATATAACTATACACTTTCGTCAACATCAAAGATAAATATTTTTTTCAGTAATTATTTCCAACTCTTTATTTCGAGAAATGTGCAAAAATAAAATTATTCTACGAAACGGCTACGACCCGTAATAAACCAGGTCAAGATTAAAGTACATATGTTCCTTGAGTTATTTGTCAATCGTAAGAACATATATTTACAGTAATATTTCGCGAATGGTGGAATAGAGAAGGAAATAAATATAATAGATTAAAGACGAAATTGGAACCGTCTAAAGAGAGAGAGAGAGAGAGAGAGAGAGAGAGAGAGAGAGAGAGAGAGAGAGAGAGAGAGAGAGAGAAAGAGCTTATTCCAAAGGTGAAATTCCACGGTAAATTACAAAGTGGAGAGAAGAGGTAAGGAGAAAGCTAGAAGGAACACGAACAGGAGTATGAAGAGGAGGATGAAGAGGAGGATGAAGAGGAGGATGAAAAGGAGTGCAAAGCGTGTCCTTGTCTGTGATATACGCGCGTTTTCACGGCTTTCTCTCGGTTATTCTCCGTGTACTTGTTCAACCACGTTCCAGCACTCGTTCTCTTAAAACCCAACCGCTACCGGTTGCTGTAGGCTGTTATGCGACCAATTCAAACTTCCCTGGAGCTAAACAAAGAGTACTGCTCGGTTCTTTAACGACGAGCTTTCTTTCTTTCGGGTGAGACATTTCGAACAGGCCCTTCTGTCCTATCCCTCGATTGAGAACACCCAGTATATGAACACTTGCCATGAGAAATATTTTATTAATTATAATAATTATATTATACAACACTTGTGTGTTCCGACATATGGACCGTTTATTTTGAAAGTGTCACAAACACATTTGTGTCCTATCTATCTAGAAATTTGTTCTGTGTTTTCTCACGTGCATATAAACAGAGTTATCTAAATACGTATAGGTTATTACGTACGAAGAAAGATTATCCCAAGCTAGAAAAGAGGTGGAAAACCTAACTAACACTTTCGACCTAACCACATTTTATTTAATCGTATATTAAAGTTAACTAACGAACACCCTTTTGCTTATCTCTGTCTCTTGCATTACGTTTATTATGCTACCAAGTAAATATCTTTTTATAACATTGCATAATTTGGAACTGCAACCAAAGGAACTCGATGCGCCACTTGAGTTAACTTTTTATTCGTAAAAAGGATATAATTTTATCTCTATTTTAAATTTATTTTAAAATAACGCGCACAAAATATATATATATATACATATATGTTTTGATAAAACTCTTACAACGAAGATTACAACACCGATGCAAATTTCAACTTCGTTTCTGCCGGAGAATTTTCTAGAATTTAGACAATGTTTGACAGATGATAAAGTCTGATTAAATGAATCTATATGCCGATTAACATAATTTACAATTTGAGATATTCCATTAGTACAGTTAAAGTTGCCATAAGAGATGTGATGTGAATTTTGATATGTAACAAATCATGGTTTCGAAGATTTTTGCTCTTTTCCCAACGGTTCAGTTAAAAATCGTTTAATATATAATAATAGTCTACAGTAATGCTTACAGTAGACGAGATTTCGTAAGGAATAAGTCGAAAGTAATTTTCCAGGCAAAGCTTTGCATATAACCAATTATTCAGGAACCAATTACCAAAGCGGATTGATAAAATTATTGAAAGTATGAAAATGCAATAGGTTCATAAAATACTTTCTACTTATTTGTAGTATTCACAAACGAGCCAATATTCTTAGCGGTTCGAAATAGTTAAGAGGATTCGATTTTTCATCGATCCAAATTTATAAGATAGAAAAATGATTGTATTTAAAGAAATGATATATAAATGAAAGTATTATATATATAGTATGTGTGTGTATTTACACACTCGTAAGATAAATGTATTCCCTCGAAAAAAGTTTTCAAATAGTCAACTCCACTCGGTATTTCTCCAAAATTGGTGGCATTTTAGATGAAAATCGTTCAGAAGGGATTACACGTTTTCCAACGCTTTCTATCTATCATCAATTTCTTTTCGCGATACCTTCTAAATATCGATCCTTGAGCAGTTAACAGAAACCATAACGGTATTTATTTATTCAAGCAAGATCGGTCATTCACCCGTTTGTTTCGTTCGTCTATTATCTATTCTATTTCAGCTATTCTCTTTTCCTTTTTAATTCCTTCCTTTTAATCTCAAACCGACTCTCCTTCATTCTCACTATTCATTTGTCCATGACCAAACTTCCAACCTATTCTTCGTAATCTCGTGTAATTGGTGCATCGCGAATGCAGCCCATTGTCCCAATCCCCTTTATAAGGTTTTTCTTTCAAAAAGAATAGTAGATAACGGATTTATGATGACCAAATTAAAGACAAATGTTCTTTGCTCGACTATTATACTAACGAGAAAGAACTACAAGATATTGGTTATATACTGGTGTTGTATATAACAGAATTGTTCCCGTCCTCTTGCAAGGATTGAATTTACCACAAAGATGATAGAAAATGAATCGTCGAAGAAACGTTACAATGGAAAAGGAGAAGTATAAGGGGAAAGAAAGAGGAAAACGAGAAGAAAAAAAAAGAAGAAATGGGAAGAAATAGAAGAGAAAACGTCCATTCACGTTACTTCGTTGCTTTACGTTGCTATAGTGAAAAAAATCTTAAAGGAAAGCGTACTACCACTCAAAAGCTATTTTAAACATGAACTAGATATTACGATTACCAACCTGATACTACTACTTGAACTTCTTTAAGAAATCACCGTACTATCTCTTTCTCATTCCCCCTCGTGCACGACACGAAGATCTTTTATTTTTATTTGAAGGGTTCTATCTCGACGATCTTGGAACACATAACGTAGCTCTTTTCCCATAGAATGACAATGAAAACGAGCGACGATAATAGGCTAACGCGACTTTAAACTTTCAACTCCGTAAGATAATCCACGTCGATGCAAAACGTAATTTGGCAAACATTTCGGCAAACGGGGTTTTTTTCCCTCGGGAGGGTGTGGTCGCGAACGACAAGTCTATTTCCTTCTAACTCCTTTTCTATTACCCTTCTCTTTATACTCTTTTATTTGTTCTAACATTTTTCCTCGAGAATAAAATTCGAATAATCAAATAGAAATTATTTGAAACATTTATCTTTACGTTTACGTTGTTCGTTTTACTTTAATCTCTCGGTATACATGCAAGCTGCTTCTCTTATTTCGCGGTAACAACAATTTCAAAAGTTTACTCGTTCTCTTTAGACCCCTCTCTTTTTTTTTGTTCGCAAGAACAAATCGTTAGTATACTATCAAATATTTCTTGTCGGATAAAAATACGGGAACTGCAAACACCGACGGTTTGAATTCTACGAATTCTACAAATCGAGATAAAACTACAGCTTTGTCGGTATCAGAGAGAGAGAGAAAGAGAGAGAAAGAGACGGAAAGAGAGAGCAACTACGAATACTATTCGGTTTTTACTGTTTTCTCTCTTTCCTACCTTTTTTTTTCTTTCCCTCTCTCTCTCTCTCTCTCTCTCTCTCTTGCGCATACTTATAAGCCGACAGTGGATTGACAATCGTAAAAAAGGATCGATAGAATTTCCGTTTTTTCGCATAGGGATTATTTGGAAAAAAATATTTGAAATAGCTTTCCTAACGATTTACTTTGTTGTCTGGATAGTTTGTTGTGTATTTGAGTATGGAAATAGTACTGGTAAGAACTTAATTACGAACGGACCGCGAACTTTGTTGTTTCTTACTATCCCCCCCCCCCAGTCCCCGACCACCGTGGGGCATTTTCTCGGAATTTTACGAACGCTTGAAATTATGTGGACCACAGCCGCCATCGTGAAAAGAAGCTTATCTCAACATCCAATTGCTAGTTCCGTACCACCCCATTGTCTCATCCAACTCGCGACGAAGAACTTTTCGAATAACGTGCGAGCTCTAAAAGCTCAACCACAAAACAATCCTATCTCTCTTCCTTTCTCCCCCATTCTCCTTTATTCTACTTTAACTATATTCTCGTTTCTTTTTTCGCACCGAAGCTCGTTCAACTAGCTAGCGTAGACGACAATTTTTCAACGGGAATTCAAGCCAAACGAGCCGTGATAATTCATTACGATCGAATTCTTATCGCTGTTAATGTTAATTTCTATGAAGAGAGGACAAAAATAAGAAAAATGGCATAACTACATTTGCGAAGAATTTTTTATCGTAATTGTCTAAAAATTCAGTGTAAATAAAAAAGGAACATTTGGAAATTTTCGATCGAAACTCGTTAACGTTATTCAATATTTGTCGCGATATTTAATAGTAGTTATGAATACTTTTCTATTGTATTTAAATAGTAAAACAAATTCAAGATCATATCAGCAAAGTCAGGGTTACCAATAATGCATCAGAAATATCGAAGATGAATGTGCGATGATAAAATAAAAAAAGGAAAATAAATCCACTCGAATATTGGAGCAATTGAAAAGAAAAACATTGAGAAGTAGTGGGTTAGGTTGTATTTCCTCTTTTAACCTCATTCGAATTTATTATTTCAATTCGATGCCAGCTAGATGAGTGAAAAACAGAGGAGACACTTGGTAAGGAAGATCTGCTCTCGTCGTTCTTTTCTAGGTCGACGTCGTGAATGCAAGCTGAGAGAAGAAGAAAAAAAAAAAAAGAAAAGAGAAGGGGTACCGTACGATTCCGTTCTCTCATCCATACAAACGTCAGAATTATTCCAACTACATTGGCGAATTCTGAGGCAGCAGCATTTTTTGTCTTATTCCTTTTACACACGTCTTCGTGTTCTTTCTTTTTTTTCGTGTTCGTCTTTCCAAGCATCTACTTCTTCTTCGATCGTCCTTGACAAGGTACGAAAACATGTCATTTTCCAAACAGGCTTATAGATTGT